TATTGATTTGGCCGGTTTCTCTTTTCTGAGTTGTTTGACCAGCACATCCGTTTATTGTGCATTTGAACAAGGTTGTTCGGTTTATTAAGAGAGCTCTGAGTGTTCGCTGTCATTTTACTGCAGTCTGCAAAACTTTAATGAGTTATTAACCGCAGACGTCGGAGAACGATACGAAAATGAATTTCAGTATAGATGCTGTTCACTGTTCACCACCAACGGAAATGCCCATGTCAATGTCGATGAATCCGCAGATGTTTCAAAGTTTGTATGAGGGATCGCAGAGTGCACGTCACTCGCGTGCATACCGCATGCCGTTATCATTGCAACATCGGAGTGTTAGTGTACCGAGACGAGGATATCCATCCATTTCAAGCAGTCCAAAAGGGGTTCAGTTTTCATTTGTTCACCTCACTCGGTTATGCTTAATATTCTATTGAATTACTCAAAAGGATCCTATTTTAAAATAACTTTTCAAAAAAATGATCTCGAGCTGCTGAAGATATTTTTGTTTTAGCTAATGACGAGTACATTTTCCATCTGGCAGACTGAAATCGAAATGATATGTCACAAATCCAGGTCAAGGCTAGTTCAAGTCATTGGTGTTAATTCATCACTTACGACTTTTTTTTGCATTTAATGAGAAACTGCAAATTGAAGTTCAAAGTACCAGAAACGTGTCTCTAAGTGTTAATGCCCTTACAAAAATTCTTATCTGCAAAATCAGCGAGTCAATTCCTAAGATGATCAGTAAAGGATATACCATCTTCGCAACTTTTCACTCCTGTGCAATGCCTCAGAACCGTTAATCTCTCATTTCGAGTCACTAACCAGTAACAATAAAATTTTGCACATACCAATTCAAACCTGCTAAAAAATAACAAGGAATAGTGGAGTAGCCTAGCATTGAATGGTCGAATTTTGAGTACATAAAATAAAACTGAGCGAAGAGGGTCATGTAGATCGCAGTTTAACACCAGGGATCGGAAGAGGTAACGTCTTGTGAATGTTCTATTGGATATAATAGATGGAGATGGATCAAGAACAGTGGTTGATGGGTGTATTGCCTATAAGATCACTAGATCATTGAAAATAGCTTATCCATTTCTGTCGAATGATCTCCACTTCTGAATATTAGAACAATCCTGAAGATTCGATTCATTATTTCTTCATTCTGGTGATTTTCATTTGCTGTAAGAAAATCACATGGAAAGTGCGCAGTGAAATTTATAGAGATATTGAAACTATTCTATCCAACAAAATGTCTGCTTGTTAGATCAGTGATATCTACAACTGTGAAGTTGGGTTGCACTTCCGAGCAAGGAGTTCTCTCATGCTCACTCCAGTGTGGCTCTTCGAAACGAGCGGTATATGAATATTCTTCGAAATTGACTTTGGCTGATCAATAACGTCGAATTAGTGCCCATTCAATCAAATCAACCCCCAGTGCACAATTCAAGGCTGCCAGATAAAGAAAGCATAGTAATGGGAAGACAGAAAACGGAATTCACATTCATTGTACGACGATGAATGAATTCAGAACGTTTATTGTGCATTCCACAATAATGATACTGAATCGATGTTCTTTTCTCATTTCTGATTACTTTGACTTGAACAAATGACTTTAAAGTTGCATGTTATTACAAAATTGTTTTTATTCGCTTCTTTTATTTTTGAATTATTGGTAACATCTTTTTGTTTATTATGATATGCAGCAGATTGAATGCAANCATATTGATTTACAAGTATCGCTTCAATCTCTCTTGTTTAAAATACACTAATTAGTAAACTTGTGACCTATCGGAATTTATTTTAAGAATAATTTGAGATGTTCGGGTTGGTTGCAATCAGTACTACTCGATGAGGTTGTCGGCAAGCGTCAATGCCAGCAACAATCCGAAACAGTAAACACCGCAGACTGACGATAAATTTTGATGGGCATCATAAACTTCACCAAGGAAAAGCCATCGAGTGAACGTTTGAATGATGGATGATGAAAGTATTCAAAAGAAATCGAAACATGATTCAGCAGCAATCGTCTCTATCAAACCACTACAATCAAACAAATTCTACTAATCGAATAAATAAATGCAATTGACCCTTGAAAAAGGCCAAGGACAACCGCAGACGAGCCACTCTCCTCATAAAGATGAACCGTTTTCAATTCGTTTCTTCATTCACTATTCAACAACCATCCTCACACATAACATCATCACAAAACGTTCTCCCACGAATCGGAATGCTCTCCCTATCGGTACTTCTCTTTTGCGTGAGTCCTTCGAATGCTTCACTTGCTATTTTTATAAATGTTATTCCAACATTTGAATGCAATTTTTTCTATTCAATTTCTCATCAATAATGCAGTAGGAACGAACAGCGTCAAAAATGTTTCTTCTCAGTTTTCATATATTCTGCTCGAAACGTAAACGTTATTCAGTCAAATAATTTGAGTATTGACCAAGTTCGGTGCTGTATGTTATGAAATTGTCGCAAAAGGTTCCTTCCGAAGTCGAATTCCTCAATTTAGTTTGAAAACGAAGTCGATATGAACTGTAAAAGCAAAAAGAAAGAATTACATTGATAAATTTCAGTTGACAACTTTTGGTGATGCGAAAACAATCGATAACAAATTGAAAGGTTTGCACATTTACCTTTCTCTGGAACGTTCAAAGATTCGTTTTTTAAATGAAAACATTCCATAAAATCTTCAAATTTGTTCGTACTTATAATCAATCGCTAAAAGAGAATGTTCGCCGGATTTGCTCTGTTAAAAAATACCACTATTTTGTGACCTCACTGCTCAAAATCAAATTGCATCTCGATTCAGTCAGAATGCTTGGATGATTCTGCTTGAATGCATCATTTTATTTCAACAGCAACCAGTTTTCAACCACAACAAGACTGTTTAGTTCCATGAACCGATGCATTATCTATCGCTCACTATTGATACGCTAAGAAAATTTCGTTTAGAAACTCCGAGTGTGAGATGTGGGCCGGAAAAGATTTCAATCGAAGGAAACACTGAAGAAGTATTTGAGGGTGTGATATTCATAAAGAATCATCGGAGAAAAGAAGGATGTTCAGCCAGTTACGGCGTTGATAGTAATTCGACAAATCCTAGTTATTCGATTGCTTTAGACAGCATTGCACAATGTGGTCTTGAATTGAGACGAAATGTTAGTTCTTTTCGTTTCTGTTTGAATTATAATTCATGTGTGACGACTATCAGTGATGAACCTCATGACCAATATGCGATTCCATTTCAAAATTTATCACTTCAAGTGCCCGTCTATCTAATGAAACCACTCAAGTGCTTGAAGTGTGGAGGAAGTTATACCAAGAGTGCATATATGTAGACAGAAGAGTACGTCGTTATTCGTTTATTAACGTCGAAATGAACGATGCATCTGATTAAATCTAGTCTTGCAGAGCCTTCATTATATAATTGCTGCGCACATTTATCAGATAACCTTTCACCTCAACGCATATATCCATAAACAAACCCAGCTACATTCGTTAACACCGTCTAAGAATCCTTATTATTATAATTGATGTAACTTTTGAGACGTTTGACCACGATGGTCGGCTTACTGACAAACTGAGTTTGCTGTAAGGAAATTTCTTCCTTATTCCTTATCATCTACTTTCATTCATTAACATTTTTGTCATCGTGGAGCATTGTAACAGAGATAGCGAATTTAATTGATAACTGGAATACTGATGATAACAGTAATAAAACATTAAAAATTATAACTATTATTATTCATTTCAAAGTTGACGCAGCACAACCATGAAGTATCAGGAAGAAAAGTGGTTTCCATTCATGAATGTTTTTAGCAAACGTAATACGCAGTTTTCGTGAATTAATCAGTTATCTTCTCATAAAGATTCAAATTTCCTTTCAGCTATATACAGTATTCTATGAGTACTCGAAAATCTTGTCAAACTCTGAAACGTTGTTATCAACTGAAATTTACTAATGAATATCAGTTGAATCGCTCAAGAAACGAAGCAAACTGACCGATGCAATACTTGTTCATTTCATATTCAAGGTCACGCTCTGTCGGTCTTTCACATGAATCATCCATTGCGATATTTAAGATCTTGAATCGTTTAAGAGCAAATGGGAAGGGAAACAGATCGTTAAATGTAGAAATGAAACTGCCGTAAATCACCGCTCATAAGAGTTAAAAACAGCAACGAGTCCAATATGAACCGTGACGGATTCTTTTTTAGTATAAATAATTGCTGTGTAGCCTTTCAACATGGTCACGATCGCTCCATAATCAAGTCGCACAACTTTTTCGAGAATGTCCTTCGGGCGACGATACATTACGCTCAGTACCGTAATCTAATTGAGTGAAATTACCGATTAATTTGACTGATGAAAATTAAATTTTAATGATTTCAATGGTTTCCGTCAACAATGAGTTTGTCCTCCAATTGAGTCGTTTTCAAATCATTCCGTAGGGGTGAATACTTCAGTTGATTTGGCCTTGGACACACTCTTCAGTGTATTTTCATACTTCCTCGTCGTATTTGCAATAGCTGAAGTATTGAATTATTCAATAAGTGAAAGATTTCATTGCGATAAACTTTCAGCCAGAATCCAGAGAACTGGAAATATTCACCGTGTTCGTGTTCAGCTTTCATCCGAATTTCGTCACAGCTGGCGATCGTTCTTTCGCTGTACACTGTATATTCCTTCAACAGCAAGTGACGATCGCCACCAAATTCAATTTTATATCGTAAGTTCAACGATCAGTTCGGTCCACATTTCTGAAGCATTGCTCGAAAGTGAAAATACAACTCTGTCTTGAACGAAGACCTTCTCTCGAATAGATNTTCTCTGAACAAGTGACAATCACATTTAGCAAACAAGAATTTTTAGCCGTCATTCTGTGACATTATACGCTTTCCCATCTTAAACGAAGCTCGCTCTCTATAGACAGAAGCCTTCTCTCAGAAAACGGTGAAAAATAAGAGTTTCGAAGTTTATTTTCGAAGAAATATGGTATTTACAGCTGATTCAATGTTTAAACTATGGAATAGAACAGAACGCTTCCAAAAAAAGACGCGAAGAAGAGAACGAAACATAACAGCTGAAGAGCGCAATAGAGCGGAATAGAATAAAATGTCTAATAGAAACGTCACTGAAGAAGAAGTGCATTTATAGAGATATCACAACAAGAGGTGTTATCGGTGCAACAGCAGAAATGCCCTCAATTGGCATGACCATTGTTGAGGGTCGAGTCCCCAATCCATCGCTACAACCCGCTCGTACGGTTGCAATAGGTGAACAGCTAATGTATGTTTGGTATCTCAAAGCGGATACAGGTATGTGACCATTTTGAAGAGTCGATCTATTTGAAGAGCTCAACTTTAAATCGCGATGTTTTTTCTCATTCGACAAACAACCCACCTATACATGTAATTAATTCAGTGAGGAAAGAAATCATTTCAAATGAGCGTTGAATGGTTTCATGGTCTCATAGCGTTGGGTGATTAACCATAGAATGCAAGAGAGATAACAGACGCCACCAATCATCCAAATTGGTCTCCAAAAAACGTTTAGTTCGAAGGCAATGATTATAAATTAATCGTCATTGTTTGAGTCTGAGAACTAAAATCAACCGTTATATCGCAGTCGAAAGTTCGTACATTAGATATTGGTAGGCAAATTAAAACTTAAGAGATGCAGAGCAGATGCGAAAGGCTTTAGCAAATTTGAATATTCAGAGATTTATGGTATTCGAGTGCGAGATTGTTTCGCCGAAACAAAGGATGGTCAGAAGATGAAAATTATTAACAATGGTTGTACGACCGACTCGTTGATTGTCTCGAATGTACAGTACTCAGAAAACGGCTTGAAGGTATTCGTTTGTTATTTCATGTTCAGAGAACTGGAATTTGTTCATGACAGTTGTCCTCTGTACTGGACTTGATAGCTAATAGATTTTTTTCGGTGGCCACCTACGGAACACTCCATTGAAAACATCGAAAATCCGTGGCAACTGATATGAACAGCTTCAAACGCTGACCTACTTCGGTCTCAACTTCACTCAGTACATTTTGAGAAGTAACTTCGATACACCGTTTCGTGACTGCAGTTAATAGTATTTATTGGTATTCATTTGAGATGTCAACGGTAGCGAATAATAATGCAATTAAGAGCAATAATTTTACTATGCACAAAATCGTTTTAATAATCGAGATGTGCCATTCAAATGAATACAAATAAGTATTCATCGTCACTTGAATGCCACTCCCAATTTAAGGCATTTGCCGATGCAACGGCATTCAAATTCCCAGACGCTGAAGATGTTTGGCTGACTTGTTCAGTGAGCATTTGCATTCGACATTTCGAGCATTTAATCGCAAACAGTGAGGAAAGTCTTTGTGAGACACAACCGGTAAGAACCATTTTAGGCAGCACAAACATACCGTTTCATGTCCTCATAATTCTCTTAAAAATTAAACACTCACTACAAGAGATTTTCGGTCAATTTGATGAAAACTCGCACTGAATTCAGTTAATAAACGGATAAATGTGTGGTTGAAAAAAGAGATGATCGTATGAAAGCAATCGCAAACAATTGCAGAAATGCAATGAACGCGAGAAAAGATCTACGGAACAAGAAGCATCAGCAGTGAGTATCTATTCCATCGATGATCTGGTTCATCATAAACTACGTGTTACTGATTCACCATCCTACGAGGCATTCCCATTGAAACAGCAAAACAGCACATCGAACGGTTACACAATTTTCGTTTGTCATTTCAAATTATCGCTTCAAACAGAATTTCAAATCAGATTGTTTCAAATAGAAACTTAACGTTTTCCCTTCTAATTGAACGTAATCGTGTTACTCGTTTCAGAGGCGTTCAATAATTGCTGCTAAATATCGCCTTAGTTACCTTGAGTATGATGAAACTTTAATAGGGGCATGCTCAAAATTAGTGTAGTCGTTAGGTTTTATTCAATTAGAAACCGATTTCAGTCGTCAACGGTGATAGCGCAACAGAAGCAGTGCAGTTGTGTCTCCAGAAAGGAGCATTCGCTGGTGTATCGGCGGCGCTTTTGAGTACATATTTTGTGACGATTTGTCTTGCTGGTGCTATGGGTTTTTCGTTGTATCGATCTCATCACCAAAAACCGACATGTTGAATAATTGAGAAATCGGTCCATCAAGAACATTACTCAGACCAAATCACTGCATACTTCGACGAGACGAATCGCTCGTCATTGCATCTGCTCAATAGATTTCTTCAAAACCGTCGATATTTCAACAAAATTTACGTGAATCTTATTGCTTTCATCATTACTCATTTCAATACGTGTACTTAAGTCATTCGTAAAACACATTCCGTTTCCTGTTTTATCATTCGTCAATGATTAGCGCTGATAATACCAACGATAACAATGATATTAATGAAAACAATCTTGTAAACGATCAGCGTAAATCCACACTTGTTGAACAATATTGCCACTGACATGTGTCAAATTGTGGGAAATACTCATATGACTCACATCTGAAGTTAACTTCAAAATGCGAAAATGCGACATAATAAATTATAAACACTCAACGGTTCAGTGCAGTACCCGAACGAGACATATCATAAACACTGAGGGTATTTTTGCCGTCAAAGCGAAAGAGTTAATCAAATTAGGGCGGGTGAGCAAACTGCTCGTTCATTTGTCGCTAAGCGAACAATAAGACCGACAACAGCAAAAAACTACATTCTCATCAAACTGATATTTCGATAGTTAAGTGGAATGAAAGTCTGCTGTGATTTGCTCCAGTACAACTTTCAACTTATCGATGAAATCACACTGCACCAAAAGGAAATCAGACAGCGCTGTGGGTATTGATCAACAAAATCCGCAAAAGTATCGCTCTTCACGTCAAACTCTTCATCAAACACATACAAATGAACGAACCAAATTAATTTNTAATGGATGATTGTTAAGGAACAGGCCACTGAATTCTAAAGATCCTCAACTAACACCTTTATCTGCTCTACTTTATACGGATGATAGTTAGCATTTGCTGATTGCTCCCCAACGGATTGTATTTTGCCTAGTCGCCAGACAGACCGTAAAATTCTGTTAAGGCGTTGGTACAGGCCACATCTTTTACGTGTGGAAATGGGGAGTTTGCAAGCAAATCGCTCACAGTTATCACTGCTACCGCTCCGTTTACCCATATTACACCACAGTTCTTTTTCCATCAGTCACTTCATTTTTGAATTAAAGTCTTCAGAGAAAGAAGCTCATAAACGAACCTCACTCACTGTAACATTGACATTTAAAATACGTTTAATTTACTGCTTATTTATACAGAAAGCGTTTCACCACCTGCACTAGCAGTCAGAATACAATCGAAACACACAGCTGTCATATAACCGAGTTCATTTCGCCCATCAATCTCATAATGGTAATGTTTTGCATTAAAAAGTCTACCGATGCGATAATTTCAAAAGTTGAAAGGCATTTATTTGAAATATTTTACTACCCATTCACATAATTCTACACCGGTTTCATTGTCAAATAGTTCACAAGCAATGACACTTGACATAATACATTAAAGAAGTGTCCGTTGCATTCAGTTTCCCTCCTCTGTTCCCTAATAAATCGTTGCATTTCACTTTCTATCTCACTTAAAAACCTTCAAAAAATTATAATTATTCGTATAATTCGGTTTGGAAATATTTACACGTACAGAGTACATTCGGATGATAGGATGCTTTCTTCAAATTAAAAAATCCATCGATTGATTGTATCTCGAATTTAGACTGCTCTCTGGACAGATAAGATAATGCAGAAGAGGTCGATGAGGTTAGTTTAGCAAGTAGAGAGTATTTCTCTCATTTTCCTAAATTAAATGATCGATGATCAAGTGAAATACGATCACAATTATAATCAATTTGCTTTGAAATATTTCTCATCGATCAGACGGCAAAAGTCTGTTAAGTTCGAGTACTTGCGCAAACAGTTGACCAAATCCATATTTGGCAATTCAGTTGTTAAAATTGTGAAGAGATGTCCAAATGCTAAAGCATCCAACTCCGTTGGTAAATCGCCCATAAAATAGCTGCAATAAAAATTAACAATACGAACATCCTTGAACACTTGACATCCATGGCATAAAAAGTACAGATAATTAAAGTCTTTCAGCAATCGAGAATATTTACGCTTACAATTAGTTAATTCCACACGAAGTGGTTCATTTAAGAAATGGATAGATCGATCATTGGAGTATGAATAAAGAACAATAAACGGAACGAAACCAACTCATTATTGGCCAATTTCAAAGATAAACTCTTGAAGCATGCATCTGCTTCATCGATAACTTCATCCAAGCTCTTCGTTCGCCACTCCAATGCACTCAAGTATTTATTCACCTCACGACGCTTTAGCATCGGTAGGATTTGATGGAGTGGCCATGAATAAGCAGAGCCATATCGATGGCGTGTCACTTCTGAATACGTCGATTCCTCGATCCATAGAATATACAACTGAATTGTCACAGTTCGTTCGATGGAAGAGCAATAAGCAAAAGTGCATCGTGCAACGATACACGATTGCTCTGAACAGCAAGTATTGACGCGACAACAATGAAAACATCACTTCATAATTCACGCACAACAACAAAATCACTTACTTCTGCATTTTTGAGCACTTCTTCGATGAGGGCGATGTGCGCGTACATGTCAGCTCGTTGTGCATCTGTTAAACCACCTGATAACTGTACACCCTTCAACGTTTCACTTCTTATTAAAATGAATTTCGATACAAATTGTCTACTGAATGTGAACAATGCTCTTATTTTAATGCGACGACAGGAATGCATCCAATCTATTCATACAAATTCCCCCCCAAGAGATGCGATTCAAACAAATCTAACCACAGATTATTAGATCAATGAATATTCACACTGAAAAATAATATTTTAGTGACAAATTAACCCCGCATCAAGGTAGAGTCAGTGAAAATCTTCGCGAAAACAAGAGAATTAATGTTCTAAAAGAGATGGTAACCTTTTTTGATACAAAATCAACGATTGGCATAAATTCGGGTACAATGACGTCTTGTAGCTTCAGAAAGGGTACTTTGCCGGTAGGTGACATAAACTCTGCATTGGGACGTTCGTCGAGGTGAAATGGTAATTCGACCATTCGCAGAAACGCACGCACGGCTAGACAATCAGCATACTAAAATATCACACCCTCAAAAAATAACTGTGAAATTGTTCGCTGGTTTAATTTCAACGGTAGTAGTACTGAGACATTGAGAATGAATGTGAATAATTTCTCCGGTGATATTGCTTATCATCAACAATCTACAAAATGACCTCATCTTAAACTAGCCGCTGGAAAGGCAACGTAAATCGGAAATATTCTATATCACGGAAAATGGAGGGGCTAAATGTGCCATTTGCTATCGATATCGATACCTCGTTCACGAGCGCTTGTTGATTTTGGAATGGCGCAAAAACGGCTGCGTTCGTCCATTCGTCACCCATTTTGGCCGACAGCGAATCGGACACCAAATCAGCCATGAAGTAATTAGCCGACATTTGGCCAAAGATTTTGCGTTTGCTAAGAGAAGAATACTTTTGTACACGCACATTTCACCGAACTTCGTAACGCTTAAAGAATCGTCACAAAAGAAAAACTGGGTAGGTATGTTTAAAAATAACTTGTTTGTAACATCACATGCAATTCCTTCGTAGCTAAACAGGTGCTGGTGAGAATTTGAACACATTGTGACAGTATGCTGAAGTATAATTTAAATACAGGCGACTTCGGTGACCTGAACAACGCCATAAGAAGATTGTCAATTATCGATGTTGAAAATTTATAATCTGATGAAACTTTTGCAAACATGATTAACAGTAACCAATGGTAACATGGGAAAAATTATAACAACGCATTCAAATTGTACATACTGATAAATAACACCAACAACAAAAATTAGAATACGACGACATAATAACATGAACAACAACAACAACAGGCAATATAATGAAGGAGATATTTTCATCAGACATTCTCTCGTTATTATCTCTTCAAAACCCTTTTACGACCACGACCCTCAAATCGAGTCCCCTGAAAGAAAAGAAGAACGGTACGTTGGAATTGCCGGTAATTAGTGATTGTTACCTAATATTACTGTTGACGCATTAATGAACAATTTAACTTATAGGTGATGATTTAACAGTTTAACTTATAGAATTTGAACAGTGAGCAACTGCAACAAAAAATAACTTGCTCAACATTCATTGACCTCTGAATTAAGAATTAAATTACCTTAACGTTCCTCTTTTCAATCACCTCTTTGAGACTGCCTAGTGCATGTCTGTATTTGGTCTGAAGTGGATCATCAGTTGTTAATTCCAATTTTTCTTCTTCAACATCCCTCCAACATCCCGTCTTACTCAACATATTTTTCAAATCATCTCTCTGAAAGTATTAACAGTCATTATCCAATCTCTACAAAACTCATTTTAAACGTTCTCTCGTTATGCTTCGTACATAAGTAAGGATATAATGTTATGATCCATCAAGGAAAACAGTTTGCGAATGGAACTATTCATATTGGAATTATTTTTGCTGATGCAAATGCGGAACAGCTTCATCAAAATCACGATCAAACTTGAATCGTAAAAAATATGCCGAAGAATTATTTCGATGCCAGGTGAGAACATCTTTTGATCAGTAAGCACATTTCACTGCGAGTGAATGCGTTTCTTCCTTGTTTAGCAGTTGGAATGAGAACAGAAATAACCTCTTGATTGGTGGTGAGTGAGAGTGCGACTCCTTGACGTCCACAACGAGCCGTTCGACCAACTCGGTGGATGAACAGTCGCTCGGTACTCGGTTTATCGTAATTGATCACTGCGTCTATATCCTGCACATCGATTCCACGCGAAATAACATCACTCGCGATCAGTACACGGGTTGCACCTTTCTTGAACCTTCAGCACACAAATTTATTGGTCCTTTTCAGATTGTAAGGAAATTTAGTAATTGCAAAATAAAAAAATTACACAAACTATAACGAATATTTAACTTATAGGAAGATCCATACATCGCCCTCAAACGTTCCCCTCTTATTTGCCATCAAAAACGAATAAATTTATGGATGAGTTGCACATTATCTTTGCACAACCGTGAATACATTTCTCAATGTTATCTCAAAATTACATTGCAGTGACCAAATGAAGTATAGATGAAAATCAGCCGAATCCCTATGGAAACAAACGAAAAAATTAAAAGATGTGCTTTGTGCATCAATCAATCAACTAATACACAACAATAAAAACGATCACCTATTCAGCACTTTATGTCTCCTATGACCGAAGAGATTCGCTGAAAGTTCCTCCACTCGAAAGTCATCACTTGCAAGCACGTTCAAAAGTACAGCCAACCGATTACTTGCCAATCTGAACGCAAAAACAGAACAAATTAAAGATCAGAACGAAAAAGAATCGCCAAAAACGGAAGGGTGTGTAAATTTTTGAAGAAGTTTATGACAGCTTCGGTGAGATCACGCAGAAAACATCCAAATTCACCATGTGATAAACCTTCATTAACAACTCATATGATGAACTATGGATAAAACCTTCATTCTACCTATTGTAAAACCAAACTGACTTTACCACACTAATTTTTTCGTAAAAATACCGAAATTCTATTAGAGTGATGAGGTTTCAAAATAGTTCTACTTCAGTTGAATAGTAATGATAGAATGAAATGAAAAAAACCAACTTATTATTCGCGAAAACGAGAATCCTCTTCCATTGAGAATGCTTTTGTAGTTGAATGTAAAGAGCTAACGGCTTCACATTCGCTTCACAAACTACAACACGATGTGTCAACGATGACGGCAAAATGGTTGCACCGACTATTTGATCCGTTGTTGCAGTTGTTTGGTTCAGTGATAGCACTGACTCATCTCCTCTTATCTCTTCCGAATGTTTCGCTGTTGCTCTGCAAAGTGTTCACTGAATTTATCTTTTACATTCATGTCAAAATAATGAATAGTTTATTTGTTGGTAATTGGCTGATTGACGAGGTGACGATCAAACAATCGTTGCTTTAACGATTATCCACTTTCGATGACACACTTTCCACCGCTTGCGATAATTTAAGTAACAATGCGAAAGAAAATCGGTAAAAATAAATAGAACAGCAATAATTAAACAATAGAAATGATGATTGCTTATGAAGCAACTAACCGAAACAATCGCGGATAACGAAGCCTCCAAACGTGTAATTTTTCGACATCTCGTGACAGTGTTGCAGATACAAGAATTTTTTGAAGATACGATCCTGTTCGCGCGATGTTATCGAAACTGCTATAAACAGTGTTCACTGCAATCATGATATCATTTCATCAAATACGACAGCAATGTAGTGTTTGTTGAGCCAGTAAAGAAGTTCACACAACGAGAAGAGAATGTTCGTCGTGAAAAAAAAATTGTAAACAAAACACTGATTGTAAGAACAAACTGTACAACAGAAACTAAATTGACAATAAAATATTTACAGTGAGCTGCATTTTCGAGAGCATCCAACCATTCCAGTCGGGCACTTTGCGACATTCGATCAGCCTCGTCAATGACCAGATACCTAAACAATGGCCAATTCAACGGTCGAGGCAAAAATAATTATAAAATTGATCGAAGCACATTTAACAGTTTGGTTTTCAAGTAACCAGCGATTTAAGCAAAAATCGCACATCTTTAGAACATCTCAGAGTGCGAATTCATCATGTCATAATTTGAGAACGAATTTCCTCATTTCAGTCGAACAATATTAAACGCATAACTCGATTATTGTAAGATGAATCAGTCTATTCGTCGCTGACAAAGACCAAATGTTTGATCATCTTCTATCGCAATAAATATGAATCTCACCAATCAATAAACAAAAAACGGAACCTCAAATGAGTGACATCAATAGGCGACTGCGGATCAACTAAATGCTCAATGAGTCGACCCGGTGTGGCGAATACGACGCGTGCGTCTTTGAGCTGACGTCTTTGCGAGTTTATGTCGTTGTTAGCACCTCCACACAATAAAGCGGTTTTCATTTTGAATACATTGAATTTATTGAACTCCTTAAAGACTGATCGATATCATCGCAAAACGATTCAGCTTTCCAATATCTTATGGTTTAATGAACCAATGAAATACCATCAATTGCAAACCAACAAAAAATTAAACTCATTGCTCAATCAAATTGAACAAAACGGAAGCAATCAACGCAAAAAATAACGAACAGATTCAATTTGTGCGACAAGGTTCTGAACAGGTGCAACAATAAGTGCATGCAACGATTTCGCGCTCGTATATGATAATGAATTTAGTATTGGTAGAATATAGCAAAGTGTCTTGCCACTTCCTGTTGGTGATGATATGGCCAAATCTCTGAATGGAAAATACGATTAGGGGTCGAAAATGAACACATAAATCTGGATACGTAACACAAAATTTATTACTCAAAGGCTGCGAATAAAGCTGAATCGATGATTTTTTTAAATACATTGGTGACAACTGAACAAATAACAACAAAATCAAGAGCAAAAGAAATAAAATTGATGACCTCGGTGGAAGTAGAGGTGGACATACGGTTTCCGCGATAAGATGAGGTAATATAGAATATTGTACTGGAAACCAGCGTTGAATAGTTGCATGAATCACGTCTCGCAACCGAGGATGGAGTCCACTAACTGCATCCAATTCAACCAAATTCGCATCAATCAATTCAGCTGGAAACGTTGTTCCAGAACTTATCCATTTCGATGTTATACTTTAAATTGTGTTATTAAGCGAATGAGTAACGTTTATTAGAGTTACGAACAATGTGATGAGTTTGAATTTGAGAAGACCTCAGCGAACAATTCAAAGTATGAGCTAAGAATTCCCTCAATGCATCATTCTGCACTAAAATGTCTATGAATGAAACGCACTTCACATGATCACACCAATTTCAATGGCAAAAACTGTTGCTCGTAAAATGATTATGCAATCAACTCATCCCTTACGATAATCCTTGTATCTGATCTCATTAGCAATACCCCGAAATAAAGCAGCTGAAGAGATTTGAAGTGAAACCAAATCAAAATTTAAACAAAGATGCTATTTTGTCACTGTCTCCTAGAAGTGAAAAACGCAAACGAAGCTGCTAGGAAATGGGATTCTGAACTCGGTTTATGGTAAAACAATGAAAAAATTTTCCTGTGAAGCACCTGATTTTCTTATTTGATATGAATTTCTGTTCACCCAACACTTGATAGGGTGTTTCCGTTGCGTTATTCGACTCGACTACTTCACTATCTTGCTTCTCCTCTGATTGATCGGACATACTGCAACATTTCGATAACATTCTGTATATTGGAAATGTTTCAATTTAAAATTGAAACACAAAATTGTGAAAATATGTCGACTGCATGGTGAAATGTTGAGCAAACAAAATAAATTTATATATATGGTCTTGAAACTTCAGTTGAATTTAACAACTCCATGCCATAACGTGCCATTTTTCGATGATCATAAATCTCATGCAAATGTGAGTTCAACGTAAATCATTTTCATTCAATGTTGCGTTTTTAAATTACATTCACTTGATTACGCTGTACAATAAATATTATCTGCCCACAACACTGCAACAACTCAACGCGAAATAAACGAACCCCTCTGGCGAGCTAAGCCCATGACTGTTTTCTTCCTCATTAGTCGATTCATTCCCTGTTCCTGAAGAAGAGCTACGACGACGTTTTTGCACGCTTTTCTTCATTGTCACTATCGACTCATAAATTTACTATTGAAATATGAAAACTGAAATTTTACTGGATTTGAGAGTGCAAAAATCATTATGAGGAGATGGAAATCGAACAGAAGTTCGACGTACATTTTGTTATTAAATAAATGCAGTACCATCTGAACAGGCAGACATCACTGTTGAGAAATGTTTCATTGGACAATATATCGCTGAACAGCAACATAATTAAAATGAATTCGTTTCATCTATGCAGCAAAAATAAATATTTCAAGCGAACTTTGACAGATTGAATTAAGAAATAACTTCGGTGCGGACAAAAAAATCAGTTTTATTTAAACAAATCAGCAAGAAGATAATACAATAAATAATAATATGAACAACAAAGCTTGATTGAGATATACGAACTGAGATATAGAATATGCACTGAAGTGACTTATAACTGATCATTCGTTATCTATTGTTAAGCGCATGGCCAAATTATGGCATGAAAATGAACANTTTGAACTTCCGATTTGGATTACATTTAAAAACACTTCATGACAACAAAACTTCTGATCTGATTCGCAGTAATAATTCTATCGACTCAAAGATGCCATCAACAGAAATCACAAAAATGAGCGAAACTGCAATGACCTCAAAATTCCATAACAACCGTGATACAAATAATACAAACAATTATGATACCAACAATAATAATAATGATAATAACAACAATAACATCAGCATTACAATACATCCAAATGGTACATTTCTTGTTTGCATTCCAATGTGATTATCAGCGATCGAATGATGCGACGAACACGTGTGATTATTCGATACTTGATACTATAACGGACACATCACTTTTGTTTGATCGAACCACAGAAACAATCGACTCAAGCGCCTGTTGACATCGCGACAGATATCTGCATGTAAAACAATCATTGATTACCTTTTGAATAACAATGCTAGAAATACTAAATAAAACTTATTGCGGATCATATTTCCTTCATTGGTAGAAAGTAAACGGACAGGTAAATTTCCCAAATTTCAAGAGCAGCCTTCAATAAGAAGGGGACGAATTAAAGAAATATGATGTGAAGAAAACAAACGAGCAGTTCAAAACAAGAATGGATCAGGCAATCACTGAACCGATAATTATGCAAAGATTATAAAACAGCTATGAAAAAGAACGAAATAAGAACTACTTTCGAATCTGAGTCACTTCTTCATCTTTCAAGACGATCGCTTCACCATCCGATGCTGTCTTCAACGCATCGGATTTATCACGCAATATCGCCATAAGATTGCTCACTCGACTCTGCAACTGTTGTTGATGATACGTCCTATCAATGCACAACTCGAACGTGCAACACAAATGATACTACGAACCAACACATATAATATCAGAGCAAGCCTATCATCAGCATCCACTTTCACGAGGACAGAGCCACTTCACCTTTCTTTATGAATTCATTCAAACGAAATGACTATTGTTCGCTTTTCCAACACAAATAGCAACGTAAAACGGAACAATTTTACGCAGTTGAATCTTCTCCATTCCAAAATAACTTCCAGTATCCACAATAATTTCAGAACGTTCAACGAAAAAGCAATTCAACTGGTCTTCCAAACATCAGATGTATTTATGCGAATGAACGAACAACCTTAATTTGATTCGGTGCATCCAATGCGGCGTCTAACGCTTCCAAGCGACTTTCTAATTGCTCTTCGCCACTATCAACAGCGATGCTGTACCGTTCGATGAGTGCTTGCAGCACTAAACAACGCAAAAATCGATGTGACAATTGCTTTTGGCGTTGTCTGAAACACTAGATCATTCACACCAATGGTTTACAATTAATTTCGGACTAATCGTCCACCTCGGTCGCAACTAAATAACTTCTCTCCCTTTCCAAGTGCAGCGCATTTAATAGCTTCTTTTGTGAGGGACTAGCCAACAACGCAATTATTCCAAATTCATTTCGCTTCCCAAAATATCGGAAATCGTTCAAAATCAACTTATAACTACACTATAATAACTGAAAAGAATGCTACCAACCTCAAGAAATGCTCAGATGTCTCGGATAATTCGTGAATAATGAAAAACAAAATACAACTCGATGAGAAAATGTCAACCTGTGAATTGAATTTTGCGTGGAGTATTTAGTGATATCGTTCCGCACCTCAACCACCCTTCTTCGTAATTCCTCTATGGCACGTTCGGCCAGTTTCCCTTCAGCATTCTAAACTTGCACTCAGTTACATGACACACCGTACGTTATATCCACACCCATAGTACCCCATTGTAACATTTACTTGGCTAAGGTTCCTAATTTTCATTGAAAAGTCCTGGCTAGATTTTTAGGACTCAAAGGAAATAAAAGATGAACAGATGACGGAACACGACATTGTAGGTAATTTTCGTGTCCCGAAAGTTTATGATTCGCTCGTGAAAATGATGAATACATTTTAATATGGTCAATGCCCTAACCAGAAACAAATATACAACAGATGAACCGAAAAGAATCAAATGTCATCGAAGAGAAGCATGATATCAATCGAAATCAGTTCCATCGAAACCAATAAATTCCATACCGACAATACAGTGAACCAAAGTTGTATTAATCAACAAGTCAAAAAGTTGAGGTAAAATTCGCGTGAGACAAATGCATCGTTTGATATTACTATTTTCACAATCGTTTTCTCAATACAGAATGAATTCAATGAAAATGATCATTTCTCCTAACATTTTATATGAATGACTATAACAAATAAACTCTCAACGAAATAAGCCCAAATTTCATTCGGTATCATCCTTCACTAAGTTGCTTACTTGCAAGTCTTGACGTTTACGAAGTTGTTCGAATCCTCTGATTGGATACGGCACGAGTCGTTCCGGGTCCGGATTATCTTTTACAGCTTGCTTCCACAACTCTGCATCAAATCCTGCAATTCAAAGTTTTAGTCATTTATAGTCATTCCAACGTTTTAAACATTCAAAGTGAATTTAATGCAATATCTGGTTAGGATTATGTTGACTTTCACAATTCATACGGCACTNTCGCCATTGTTGACGGCGAATACGGCTAATACAATAACACACTCGAAACACGTCTCTACTCGACATCAGCAAAAACAATTAAGTTGGAGTGAATAAGCATCGGTTTGATAGTCTCCAATCGAGCACAAAAACACTAGTCTAACATTCTGGTGGATATAACTTACGCCCAAGATCTGTCACCGAACAATACAGCGCTCGCGTTTTCAATCTCATATTACTTATTTGACTCGAATTTTAACACTGAAACCGATGAAGGTGGGGTGAATAAGTAAGAGCCAGTAACAGGGTTCCATTTTGTGTTTCTGTTCATGGAAAAGGAATGGATCGTAAACGGACCATCAACATTGTAGAAACAATTATCATCATAAACAATGACTACTTTTTGCAACCTTAACGAATTCAAATTATCAAGAGATATTGAGAATGACAAATCCGAATCATCAAACAGAGAGAAGAAACATGAAAAGACCAGAAGACTCACCTGTAGGCGGTGTTTCTAAGAAGATTTTCAGTCTAGCTGCATCCATTGAATATCGCGGTACCACATCACTAACACAGAGTTGACTTTTCAACTGAGCTGCTTGCGCTGGTTGTTTGAAATAAGCGCTTAACTGTTTACTCGAAACACGACCCTTACCTTTTTCATTCACATATATCAATACCTAGAATTCATTAATAACACTCTTTCATCACCAAATACTGATACTTACAGAATTACATCCAAAATTTCTGATGTGAATAAAAACAAACTTCAGTCGTTGTGTTGTCGGGCATCGGTCTGATAGCCTCTAATCGAGCACGAACATTAGTGTTATTACCAAGGATTACGTTTAACGCATCGATTAATTTCTGACGTTGAGTGGATGATGAAAGCTGATCGAATGGAACACACATCATTATTGATACAATACCGTCACTATCTTCATATTCACTTCTCCTTAATGCAATAACGTCATCTGCATGCATCATCACCTACATTCTGCTTAAATGAACTCTTTATATATACTAAAAAAGATTCATCTCCTTCTAAATGCATGTCAATTATAAAAGTTTCGTTCTGCAATGAGGCGTATAGATAAAGAACATTAATTTCATCAATTTTTTCAAACGTTAATTTCAAGAATTGTCCCAATTTGGGTTCATTTTTCAATGAAAAGGGTCGGTCAAGCTGAATTGGCAGCTTCGTGAAACGTTTCAAGGAAGGCGCTAAGCATTCATCTTATCCATATCAATAAGTAAGATATGGATCGATTGGTTACAACAAAGAAATGATCAACTACACCGTCAAATGTCTATAAATAATCCATCTTCATGAAATATGAAAATAATCCAATTTGAATGAATCAGCACCTATTATATCCAACAGCTTTGAATCGATGGAATGGACCGTCGATATTATAAGTAACTGGTTGCTGATCATTTTTAAAGAAACCATTACCAACCCCACAGGCGGCTAGCAGCTGATTTAACTTAGCCACCAACGCATCTCTACCATCACCATATAAATCTGGTGCAGTCAATGAACGCACCAAATTGTCGGAATTCTAAACTCGAACATTCATCACTGTCGATAAACCTAGCATAAAGCTACCTCATTCAGTGGTCACCATCAATCCAAGTTATTGTCAATTGATTTCAATAAAAATTTGCGCTCATATATTCAGTTCGGAGCGGATCACGAAGAGTAATTTAAAATACTAACAAAGAAGTGAGCAAGGTAATACCAGTTGGTCAGCCATGGATAACTAAAAAAAGCACAAGAGAACAACTTGACGATTGACACGTAATGAGATAATCGGGATGATGGCGATAAGCACCGAAATGATGACATTGGTGACGAATGACGACAATGTACATGTGATATCAGTTTCAGTTATTCCTGTCCACGTGAAATATTTCTCAGGAATAGCTGAAACTGATATCACATGTAAGAAGCATTTAAAGAGAACCTGTATGACTTCCTGAAGAGTGGGTAAAGTGGTGGTTTGTGGTTGTGTGGCACTTGCAGTCGCGGTGCTCGCTGAACCGAATAAGCCGCCTGGTTTTGCTGCTCCGAAACCTGTAGTACTGCCAAGTGTACCCAAAGTTGAAGCAGCTGAAACAGAACATGAATATGGTTCATCATGGAACTTATAGAACCCTTATAAATGGCAGAGAGTGATCAGTAAAAATGAACTGATCTGATGCAACAGAAGATGGAAGCTGGAACGCTTGCAAAGAACAATATTCACTCAAACAGGGAAGCAACTACCACGTTATGTAGCAAAAATTTGGAATGAAAGGAAGACTGATATGCATGAGAAGGTATAAAATGATGTAACGAAAACAACACGCATCGCTTCTTACAATAAAAACACTGACGAAATTAAAACGAACGTTTCGAGCCGAAAAGTGAACCACCAGACTGCGAGAAAGCACTAGGCGTTGTTGACGTGCCAAACAGAGAGGTTGCCGGTGTGGATGTTGCTGCAGTGGTCGACCCGAACAGCGGTTTGGCTGTTGATCTGAAAGTGGGCAAGTATAGGATCACAATGCAAGGCGAATGAGATTAAAACAGCATTGAAAATCAATTTCATTCCAGCAAACACTGAAAACTGACAAACTAAGAAGTTCTATTTTTATGGTTAAAAGGTGCTGAGTAATTTCAGCACTTTAGTCTCATCATTTGCGGTGTACTGCAGTAAGATAATTAAGCAGACTGACATGATTCAATATTCATTTGCGTATTGTGACCTGATTTTTGTCTGATCTCATGCTCACAGGAAACACTGAACCCTCCACTAACCGACGTTCGGCCGATTTTCGCCGAAATTTTCACGAACAGATTCTCATAAATTTATCTATCTTCATTTCCGGAGAGCACTAAAAGTTCTCACTGTTTCAGAATAATATCGCAGGATTGCACTAACGTTGAAGTTGCTCCAAAGAGAGGCGCTGTCTTGGCTGCACCACTCGTTGACGTACTTCCGAATGAGAATGGTGATGAAGTCGTAGCTGAGGTCGCCGTCGTCGCGGCACCAAACGTAGGTTTGGTCGCAGTCCCAAATAAACTCATCTCCTCAACATGCAATTCTGAAATTTTGCAAACTTATCTGGATACAAACTGCTCAGTTTGTCAATCTTGTAGTTCAGGCGAACGAGTAACGATCCTTCGGAAAATCGGTATTCTGTTTCATGAAAAGAAACTGCAGATCTGCTAAAAAGAGCGCCGACGAGAGTTACTAGCTTCTGGAATGACCAAAACTTAAAACACATTCAACTTCAATCACACTGTATTTGTATTAATCTGTATGCACTAGAGTCAGTAATACTAGGACCACTGTATACAGACTAATGTTAT